CTACTACTGAGGTACCCCCTTTCCAACAAAAAAAGAATAATCGAAATCGGTTTACAAATGTCGGAGCTAGGATGGAGGAGCTACAATGCTGCATACACACTTAGTTTAGTTCGGTCCGGTCCGGTCCGTTCCGGTTCGGTTCGGTTCGGTCCGGTCCGGTTCGGTTCGGTTCAGTTCGGTTCGGTTCAGTTGAGTTTATTTCTCTCAACATTACAAATTTAGTTTATTTCTCTCAAATAGAATTACATGTCATTTTATAATACTATTCGAAAAGTGACTGTCAGTTTACAAAATTATGAGAAATAATTGTAATTAGTAAATCATAGTATACAATAGGTACTATACAATAGTGTAATTAAAGTAATAAATAATTGAATTAGAATAACAATGTCAAATGTAGGTAGGTACTATAACGTGAACGCGTAGCTTGGGTTTGCGTATTGACTTACAAATAAATGGACGACGGGTCTAATACAAAAACCACGAAAAAAATGTCCCAAGTCAACCTATTCGAAATTTAAATTGTAATGTCATCGCAGTATCGCGCTGTCCGTAGAACAAATGAAGACTAAAGCGGAGTGTCGCGCTCTGTATACGATTTTAGCGCCTTACAAGTGCGGACACTTTTTAGCGCGGACCCGACGTCCATATAATTGTAAGTCAATGGCGTAGAGGTACTTTTTAAATATAAAATTGGGATTATATTCATAAATAAAGATTTACGTATATTCAATTTCGAAGCTTTATCCAGAATGTCCTAGATGTCTGTTTGACATAACCCCTTAATTATTTATATAATTCTAAATACAAACCTAAGCTGCCTGTATTACACGTATTACAGTACTGTGTACAGGAAATGTCAATATGAATACTTAATAACTAACAAATGTAAGTTTAATTAATTTTAATTTAATTAATTTATAATAAATAATACAGTGAATGTTCACTTATAAAAAGTTAAGAATTCATTAATAAATATAATAATTTAATTGTTTATATAGCACTCTGAATGTGCTCTGTTATTGAGTAAAGGGAGTTTTCCAATAAAAGATTCTTCAGTTTGCGCCTGCACGTTTCCTTACAACATTAGAACTCTTTTTGCGTCGGAAAATAAAAAGAAATCACTTCGAATGTTAGTAAAAGTGACAAGTAAAGGAACACAATTAACCATTGTTTAAATGGGTTATCGTCATAACATGTTGTGTAAAAATTTATGTCACCCTAAACCACGATTGTGTCCTGAATTCACCTCTAGAGCGTTACATCGAGATTATTAAATAGATACGTTCGAATACAAAATAACTTCTCAGAATATTGATTTAAATATGATAAACCGTTTATTAATTTGATTCAATCAAGATAGAAGTGGTCCAAATACGATTGTCATGAAGGGTTCTTCTAGTAGTAAGTGACTTTTAAACCTCCAACAATCAATGCTTCCTATACCCATTTAAGATTTTGAACCCAGACAATTTAGACATTTGGAAGCCCTTGTTTTTTTTTATAATACCAAGTGACGGGATGAATAAGTTGTGCGCCAGGTAGTAAGCAACACGCCTACTCATAACAGTTGCAGTGCCATTCAGAACTTTAAATCGCATAGATCTTAGGGGCACTGCCACTGCGCCCGTCACCCTGAGACATAAGTACACAAGTCCCATGTGTCTGTAATTTCACCAACACCCTTACCCTCCTAAACCGGTACGCAGTAATGCTCATGTACTTCCTTGGACGGACTCTTTCACAATGAGCTCTACTGCTACTAATAGTTGCAACTGCTAATAACATCTTATATGGTAGCAGTATAGCTACTTGTGAAATAGTTCGTCCAAGGAAGTACTGCCACCTTAAATATTTCTGCCGCCAAGCAGCAACGAGATCATTATCGCATTACGGTTTTGCACACACATGTGGCACATCACATGGGACTTTATGAACTTGCGCCTCAGTCAGTATTGCTGATACAAAAGCAGTACATCGATAGTAAAACTCACGTCAGTAAGCAAATAAAATAGTAAAATATCTACACAATGTAACATTGTACAAATACGTATTATGTTTAATGTACGAAAAGGTCAGCCTAAGTAACAATTAACCTAGACATAAGTTGACGAGTCCTATGTGCCTGTAGTTTCACCAGCACCCTTATCCTTCAAAACCGAGACGCAATAATGTGATTATTACTGCTTAGAAATAGGTATAGTGGCAGTACTACCCAGGACGAACCGTTTTACAAGAAGTTCTGCTGCTGCTACAAATCATATATATAGACGTGTACATATCAGTGGCGAAGCGTCCATATAACTCAATTCCCATCAGCTTGCCTAAAATTTTCCATGTATTATTAAATATTATAAAGTAATTTACTATGTTTTGTGCTCAATTTTAGGTATAGAATAATTTAACCGGTGAAATGAAGCGTATTTGCATCTTGTGTGCTAGTAAGTGTTGTGATTAAGTGTAGGCAAGGCGCCACTTTTTGTTAATGTAGATGATTTTAGTGATGCTCCGGCTTTCCGAGGACAATGTTCACACGTCGCCACTCATACATATAGGATAGCTCATAAAAACCTAAATGCGAAGTAGCTTCCACACGTTTAATAATTGACGGAATGATACGTAGTGAACAGTGTGGCGGTCGTAAGTATTTGTAATCGCACCATTAGTAGGTACTGATCAAAGTGCTCTCAAAGTCATTAGTGGCAGAGAAGTAGATAAGAAACAGAAGTGCAATAAGCGTGCTACATTTACTCTGTAGCAGTTGTTGTTACTTTAGAGACGTTAAAACATAGTTAAAAATTAATATTTAAAAATTTTTGTATTACAAAAATCGTAGACCTTTTTTACACTATACGTGCAAAAGTTTCATAAAGATAGAGTGTTGACTCACATATTCAGGTCCTAATTTCAAAATTGGATTGCGTAAATATCGTCCTAGTCTGAAATAAGCAAATTTATTTATTAGCAAATAACAGTTTATTAAGATGTTTATTAATATGGCGAACGGCTGAGGATTGGAATTTCTTGCCTGCAGACTTATTTCCTGAACGCTATAACTCGAGCCTTTTCAAGACGAGAATGAATAGGCATTATTTAGGTGTGCATGTTACATCGTCGACCTCATCGTCACTTTCCATCAAGTGAGATGGAGGTCAAATCACACTAATTTTTTTATATAAAAAAATGTGTTTATATATACAAATATATATGTATGGAGGTATACAATGTGCATATAATTGAATAACAATATAATGTAGATTTTTATCAATGCATTTTTGCAGGGTTCATTTCTTGTACACTGGACCAGTCTTCATGTATACACTAAACCCAGTACACATTTATAAGTTATATAAATAATTACAACATTAGTGTGTAAGTTTTTTCTTTGTTATACTAACCAATGTGGATGAATAATCCGAAATAAAATATTGGAATTTCAATTTGAATGAATTAAACTTTTACCATTGGAATACTATAGTCTCGTTCTCAGTTTCGATTACCTCTAACTCAAAGGTTGAGTAGAACAGATTGTTCTTATCAATAACGCAGATATCGCCCACTTTAGTTCTAAGCAGCACATGTACTGTTTCAGTTCTTGACTGTGCACTAAAGTATATTACGTCTCTTAACCAAACGAGTTTGTATTAGATACAATTTACTAACAACATTTGGGCTAGCTAGAGAGCTAGAGAGAAGTTTCGTTAAATAATTGTAATTACTAGCTGATTAATTGACTCTTCATTTAACTTACTGCCATAAGGTCATCTCTACTTCTTGAATAAGGCGCCTTTCAGACGCGACTGTCGCTCCACTTGTCCCCATTCTGCTGCAAATTGACGCATGTATTAATCCTTTTAAGAATTCACTGCACTGAATCTTTCCATTAGTATGTGCTTACGCGACGAGAACGCCGTGACCTCATATCGCTCTAGATTCTCTGGAATGTCCTGGAGGTTTACAAGTGCGTTAAATTTTTATTGCGCCCTCACGACCCGTGTACAATATACATAAGTGCTTTCTTGGTGGTTACTGAATAATTGTATAAAAAGTGCTTGCATTTTATTCAATTATTCAGGGCTTTGAGAATGTAAAAACATTTTCACGTCGTACTTTGTGCCGTTTTGATGCATTATTTATATTTATATACTTGATTTAGTAGCAACTAGTGTAGTCTTCATGGCGCAGTCTATTATAATTGTGCAGCTGTTTGCAAGTCAATAAAACACAAACAAAGTAGGTGAACGTACCAATAGAGATTTATTATCTTTGATGCAGTAAAGTTGGATTTACATTCGTACCAAATAGGTATCGTGATTATTTTTCAATTTGATATCATCTCGTCGCAAACAAGGCAGTTTGCCTTGGATTTTAAAGTCTATTTTATAGTTTACATATTTATGTATGTACTAAATTGTAGCACAATTTCTACTCATCTATCAATGCTTTTTTTTGTATGTATCTTTTGTTGACATAAGATTGTATAAAGATAAAAAACCAACCTCAAAAGTTTGTGGAATTATATCTATTTACCAAGTTTGATTGAAATCGGTTTACGGAAAGTGGCTGAAGTCTAATAAACCGGATTCATCCCCTAATTTGCAACCCTTAGAGGTGGAATATTTTCTTCAAATTTGAAATGGGCTACTACTGAGGTGCCCCCTCTAAGGAATCATTCAAGAAATCGGTTGACAAATGTCAGAGTAATCGCGTAAAATACTCACACAAAAAAGTTCGTCTCCTCTCTCCTCCTTTTTTTGAAGCCGGTTAAAAAGAGAAATTTTATGTTTTCTTCAAATAATATTTTTAGTTAATTTCTTTTTGTTTTTTAAATTTCGAGATGGAGAAATAAAAAGAAAACAGGACTTTCACGTACAGCACGGCCTACATCTACTGGAATAAGTAGATCTTCATCCAGTAGTGGACGCCTTTTGTTCGATTGAACTCATAATGATGATTTTGATGAATGACGTAAATTCTGATTTTACATCTTTTGTCAACAGATCTACACAGACTGGGCGAACCACTATCTGGAGCGGGCGCGATCTCGGCGTCGCGCTGGTACGTCAGGGGCAGGGTTAGCACGAGACTGTGCTGATGGATTGCTGCTGGCTGATGTGTTGGAAGGAGTTACGGGACTGAAGGTGCCTCGTGCACATCGGAAGCCGAGGAATCCACAGCAAATGGTGAGTGAGGATTATTAATAGGCTCAGCTATACAATCTCATTTTGTGATTTCATAAATCAGAACAGGTTGTAAACCACCAAAATCAGTTTCTTGTAGAAAATGTGTACTCTATTAATGTACTTGTAATTTCGATATGCTACAAAGTGACTGTACAAGCGCGTGACACTAGAGGTTACAAAAATATCAACTGTACCGAAATAGCAGCCTAAAACTTAGTAAAAAGCAGATTAACTTCCAATCGACCACTCTTTAACGCTTTAACAGCACAAAAATTCCATAACTCAAACCGCAAACCATAACAATCCCAAAGTAAGAATTTAATCCCCTAATTATAGTTCTATCACCTATAAAATCAATCTTCGAACGTCAAAACAGAACGCTCTCAAATATCCGGGTGTTCGTTTAATAACAAACACGGACAAAATTAAAAGCAGCTGGAATATTTGGTTAGCTCCAAATAGCTATCGTTCACAAATCATTCGGCAGGTACACAACGCACCATGTATAGGTACGGAGAACGGGTAGCCCACAAACCTGAATCCTGCTGTGTAAACCGCGCTGCTTCCGGCGAACTATGAGAAAGTCGAAATAAAAATAAAAGAAAGTTATTAAACAATCCTTGGCTTCCGTTGGGGGTTCCTTTTTAATATTATTTTTAAATGAGTAATGTGTGACCTTGAAATAGGTGCGGGTAAATAAAAAATAAAAATAATACGTTGAGTAAGGATTTTAACAGTACAAGTCTATCAATGGCTTTAGAATCAACAGTCTCGATTTATACTTTGTAACATTGTTTTCCAGCCGAAACCGTGGAACCTAATGGTTTGACCTAGCTTGGACACCAGTCTCCCATTGTAGCATTATCATAGCATTATTTATATTTGTATATACTGTCATTGTAATATATTTTGTAAGTGTGTTCTGACCTACCGCGTCTCAAGCAGAGGCCGTGGGATTGAATCCGTGCTCGCACTTCCTAGCTTCTCGGAATTTATGTATGTAATTAAATTTGAAATTTAGCATGAGCTTTTCAGTGAAGAAAAACATAGTGATAAAAACTGCATGTCGAAGGAGGTTCACAGCTCTCGGAAAGCGTGTAAAGTCCCCAACCCGCATCGGGCCGGCGTGGTGGACTATGGCTTAAGACCTCACCTGAGAGAAGATCCGTGCCCAACAGTGGGACATAAATGAGTTGATGTTGAATATTGTTTTCTTTCACATCTGGATGTACTAAATGGTATTGGTATGTTATATTTTACGTAGTGCTATTAGGTACACCGGTGTCTATTAGTGAAGTAGCGTAGTTAAACTCACTGTAACTTGATAAAACTGCGGTAGGCCAACTGCCAATGACCTTATCCGCCACAAAGGACGTGACATCTGCTTAATAGAATGAGGTATGTACAGGTAAATAGCTAATAAACAGGGAGGTATAAAGAAGCTAGACATTGCTGATACAAAAATACTGTATACGTAAATTTGACAGCCATGCTTACGTAATGTTGGCCCTGTGTTCTTCAAAATATACATAATGTGTGAAGTGATCGAGACCCAGGTAATATTATTCCTTTGATTACTATACCTATCATCACTAGTATATGTATATACTATAATACCATAGGATATTTAGAAAAATACATTTTTCATGCGAAACTGAGATCATACTTGCTTGTGTATAAAACATGCACATTGGGCGTTCAGCGCTTTTGCCATTATAGTTTACTGGGTCTCACGAGGTTAAAGCCCTTTGCCTACTAACGCAGCGCAGAGAACTATTTCAGAAACCAATAGGGTTTCATTATTTTAATTAAGCGGCATGATAAAATACAGAATTCCATTGGTTGCTGAAACATTTAGAGTTCTTAGGTATGTATTCTTCGCTATGTCTTATTAGATAATCGGTCTAATGTCGGTCTGATTTGTAGATACACTTCAGACCCAATATATAGACAGATATTATCTTAAAGTTTGTTTATGGAATTTACTTTATAAAAATCCCCTTTAAATTTACTCATACGTGGGAGACAACCATACCCCATTTCCTGGTGTCAAACTAGAGAATTCCTTTTGCTATCAGTACCAGAGCAATAGAATTCACTCTGGGGCACTTCCCAGAATAACCAGACCGGAACCAATTTAGAAAAAAAATCGTTTCCCAATTTGGTCTTATCCGGTATGGAACACGAGACCACGTCATCCAGAGCCCGTGATAATATATAAACTGGTATAAACCGTTGTGCCACCGAGGTCGTGAAGTCATATTGAGTTGTTAGGTTTTCCCGATTATTTTTTTGGATATAAATAGCGTATATGTATATATTTTGATTCAAACAAATCAACGTTTCCAGCTGTGATAATGGGACAAGGGACAACAAGTTCATTTCCAATTACCCACCATATTTTATTACGTCTAAGTAAACAGGTATTTAATCCATCTAGGGTAAAGGCACCATTTCACTAGAATTATAATTTTGAATCTTAGTTATTTGTACAGAGTAGGTCAAATAAAAAAATATCCCACACTGTTTGATCAATCATTTATTATAGTTTTAATATAAATACATAATGTAACAAATAACAATCTTCTGTTATTATATTTAGTTCTGATATTATATTTAGGTTTAAAGAAAAAATGGCACTTTTTCCCAGTAGTCAGCCTCTAAAATCCAATAAACAGCCTGTGTGTACCACTATACTCAGCCTTAACACTTATCAATAATAATGAGATCAAAATCGACAAAATAATATTTGTACTTAGTTCTTACTCTGCTAGCTTGCCTAATCGGCATGCCATTTCAAATGGCTTCCATGGCAGATGACAATTTTTCTTGGGGATACGAGTGTATTGGTTTTGGTGTCATTTTTACTAAAAATAATAAAAATACCCTCGTTAATAATAATATAATCATAATAATGTAATGTAATATAATATAATATAATATAATATAATATAATATAATATAATATAATATAGGGAATGTCAAGTTAAATTTAAACATTTTGTTGTGATTTTTGTCATGATTTCAAAAATATACGATTTACTCAAAAGTCAGCCCGTGGAGGCTGAGCATTGGATTTCATATAAAAAGCGAAGTCGCCAGCAGTGTCTAGAAGTAGCCAGCCCCCTCAATTTGTACGTAAATTAGTGATAAATTATTACAGTATTAATGAAATTCTATCCGATAAACTAATAAGTAACACACAAATGGAGAAAAAACAGTCACTTTTAACATTAAAACATAACTTTTCTTACCTGTTATGGGAACACCACTTGGTGAGAAAAATATGGCGGACATGGCACAACCGCTCTTGTCGACTGACTTCACATGTATAAACGAATCTATTTCTTCTACTGACTTCTTACCGCACTAGTCGCGTAAATTGACCAGCCAGGATTCAAAACTTAATTTTATCAACTTGCGATTTGTTAATTCAAAAAAGATCGCTATTTATAAGCACCTAAAGACGCAAAAGGCTGACTACAGTATTCTGTTTGGCCACTGGTGCTCCTGCCCTATAAAGAAATATAAGAATCGGATAAGAATCACTTACATTTGAGTAAAATCATGCAAAAAATAACTATTATATTATTTTTAAATTTTTATTGAATTGATATTCAACTATTTTTTGTGAAATTACTCCATTAGTTTGTTATAATTATTAATACAAAGATCGAACACTCAGAAAAAATTCCTACGATCCGGCCGGATTCGAACCGACGTCTTCTAGCTTACCATGGCAGACGCTATACCAACTAAGCCACGGAACGAACCAGCGAACCTCACGAATTTTTCTATGTGCTTGCGTCGTGTCTTTGTATTTGGTTTTTTCAACGAAAAATTATTCTATTATATTATATTATATTTCTTGCTGTCCTTTTCATAACCCACTAACAACTAAAAAAGTTTCAATCCTTCCCATTGTTCTCATAGCACCAATCATAAGCCATAAATCAGAAATGTATGGCCTCATAAATAACCTTCCAATGCTACTTTTAAGAAACTGTTGATTTCAAAATCGTTCCCATAGCAAAATGCGCTTGACCACGACGTAGCAAGTGCATTCAATAAGTCGTAAACTTGACCCTACGATAAGCTGACATGTTGTTAAACATGTACTCGTGAACAAATCAGTAAGCTAGCAAATAATTTCCTTGTACCAGTAATTCGATAGCGTTGCGATTAATATTCCCCAGTTTTATAAGTTTCTTGCGTTTCCGTAGTACCCGTGGAATTTGCTGCTGTTGATACAAGTAATGGATTAAGAAAAAATGTGCTGAATTATGTGAAAATTTTTTTTTTTTAACATTTTAACCTCTTTCCAACAAAGTAGGTACAAGGAAGTTTTTTAAAAAAGAAATAATCCCCATCTCACCTGATGGAAAGCCACGATGAGGCCGACAATATAGCATGCACACCTTAATCAGTGTTAAGTTCTATCATCATCACCTCATTATTCACCCCACTGCTGGGCACGGGTATATTTTAAAAAGAGAGTTTAGGTCGTAGTCCACCACGTTAGCCCAGTGCGGGTTGGGGAATACCATGTTTTCCAAGGCCTGTCAATCTTCTTCGACGAGTAGGTTTCGCCACGATGTTTCTCTTCATTTTTAGCAAGGGGGTGCACCTTCGACGTGCACCTAACGCTGATTGGCAAATCCGTTCACCACCATGGCAAACATATCCCATGCATAACGTTACATGGCGGCTACATGTGACGTGATCAGCGTGACTACGTTCTGGGCGACGATAATAGTGTATGCCATTGACACGATAAGAAGAAGAATTACTGCCGTCTTACCGACTTAAGCATCAATGTGAGCATTACTGTTTTCCGGTTTTGAAGGGGTGATGGTAAAATTACAAGATCGTGGGACTTGTCAACTTTATGTCTCAGGGTGACGAGCACAGTGGCATTACTCCTCATATCTTGCGATTTAAAGCTCCGAGTGACACTGCAACTGCTATGGACAGGTGTGTCACGATTTATTCGTCCCGTC